CTCCCACTCCCTCTGCTTGTGTTCCCTCTCTCACTGTGTCTCTGTCAAATAAATAAAATCTTAAAAAAAAAAAAAGAAATGAATCGAAGTAGGAATATGATTAACCTAGAAGACTCAGTATCTTAATGAGGTACATTCTTTCTGAATAAATCTGCAGATATGATGCAACGTCAGTCAAAATCCCAGCACTGTCCAAGGTAAGCATGCTTTTCCACAACCGTTCATGAAGTAATCCTTTACTTCTTCGTTGACTCCAGTGGCCCTTTGTAAATATGACTTTTTAACGTAAGAAAAAGCTTATCAATAAAGTCCATTTCTTGGCTGCCTCCCATTCCCTGGATCGAGTTGTCTAATCTTTCCTGTGTGTTGTTTTATTTATTTATTTATTTATTTATTTTTTTTTTTAAGATTTTATTTTATTATTTATTTGAGAGAGAATGAGAGATAGAGAGCACAAGAGGGAAGAGGGTCAGAGGGAGAAGCAGACTCCCTGCTGAGCAGAGAGCCCGATGTGGGACTCGATCCCGGGACTCCAGGATCATGACCTGAGCCGAAGGCAGTCGCTTAACCAACTGAGCCACCCAGGCGCCCTCCTGTGTGTTGTTTTAAACTGATGATCAACTGACAGAACAACTTCTCTCCCCATTACTTTCCTTTTCCAGAAAAAAAATATATTTTTTCATATCTTTGCCTCTTTATACTCCTAAATGCTTTTTGAGTCACTTAAAAAAATTTTAAGTATGAAATATATTGCAGTCCTAAAACCTGATACGTTACTTGGAAAAGACCAGTCCTCTTCAAGAACATCATGTGTCTCTGATTCAAGTCTTTTCTAAAATTCACAAAGACATGTCCTGTCTATTTCATATTAAGATTATTCTTTTTTTGGGGCGCCTGGGTGGCTCAGTCGTTAACCGTCTGCCTTCGGCTCAGGTCATGATCCCAGGGTCCTGGGATCGGGCCCCGCATCGGGCTCCCTGCTCCGCGGGAAGCCTGCTTCTCCCTCTCCCACTCCCCCTGCTCGTGTTCCCTCTCTCACTGTGTCTCTCTCTGTCAAATAAATAAATAAAATCTTAAAAAAAAAAAGACAAGTCTGAATACATTTAAAAAAAAAAGATTATTCTTTTTTAAAAAATTTTTATTTATTTGACAGAGGGAGACAGTGAGAGAGGGAACACAAGCAGGGGGAGTGGGAGAGGGAGAAGCAGGCCTCCCGCGGAGCAGGGAGCCCGATGCGGGGCTCCATCCCAGGACCCTGGGATCATGACCCAAGCCGAAGGCAGACGCTTAACGACTGAGCCACCCAGGCGCCCCGTATGAAGATTATTCTTAAGCATTGTTTTTTGAGGACCTGCCACAGCACATAAACCCCTGTGTTCCGGACAGATTGCATTTAGTTTTGGTTCTTTTCATCTGGATGAAAACTGAAGAATACGGAAACAGGTCAAACAGTTTCATATGCCTGTTATTTATTGCCCATTAAAGATACTTAAAAGCTAAAATACTAAAAGTGTTGCTGGCAGTTCCCTGCAAGGGGAAAACTTCCAGGTGTCCCCTAAGTCCCCAATTTGCCTGTTGTTGAGAGTTGAATCTATTTGTTCCCGTTCTATTTAAACAATAACTTTCAGGAGCTGAACTGATGCGGATACATTATTACTGACTGAAGTCCATACTTCCCTCCGATTTCCTTGGTTCTTACGTAATGTTCTTTTTCTGTTCCATGATTCCACCCATGATACTACTTTATATTTTGTTGTCCTGTCTCCTTAGGCTCCTCTTGGCTGTGACAGTTTTTCAGAATGTCTTTGTTTTTTGTTGACCTTGACTATTTTGAGGAGTGCTGGTCAGGTATTTTATAGAATATCCCTCAACTGGGATTTGTCTGTTTTTCTGATGGTTAGACTTGGGGTGGGGGAGGTTGTGGGTTTTGGTGAGAAGACCAGAGGTTAAAGTCCATTTTCATACCATCATGTCAAAGGTACTATGCTTGGTTAAATAGGAGCATCTCCCCCAAATACTTGGTCTCTCAGAATGTGACCTTAGGGATGCCTGGGTGGTTCAGTCGGTTAAGCATCTGCCTTAGGCTTACATCACGATCCCAAGATGCTGGGATCGAGTCCCACATCGGGCTCCTTGCTCAGCAGGGAGCCTGCTTCTCCCTCTGCCTGCTGCTCCCCCTGCTTGTGGCTCGCTCTCACAAATAAATAATCTTAAAAAAAAAATGTGACCTTATTTGAAAAGAGGGTCTTTGTCGATGTGATGAAGTTAGGATGAGGTCGTAATTAGAATGAGTCCTGATCCCATGATTGGTGTCCTTATAAGAAACAAGAGACATAGAGGTAGACACACAGGGAATGCCATGTGGTGGCAGAGACAGAGACTGGAATTATGTTGCCACAAAACAAGGAATGCCAAAGATTGCAGGCAACCAGCAGAAGCCAGGAGGGAAGCATGGAAGAGATTCTCCCTCTGAGTCCTCAACAGGGAACCAGCCCTTTCAAGTCCTTGATTTTATTTTATTTTTAAAGGGCGCCTGGGTGGCTCAGATGGTTAAGCATCTGCCTTTGGCTCAGGTCATGATCCCAGGGTGCCAGGATCGAGTCCCGCATCGGGCTCCCTGCTCCTTAGGAGCCTGCCCCTCTCTCTCTGTCTCTCATGAATAAACAAATAAAGTCTTAAAAAAAATAAAAAGATTTTATTTATTTATTTGAGAGAGAGAGCAAGTGGGGAGAGGGGCAGAGGGAGAGAGAGAATCTCAAGCTGACTCCGTGCTCAGCATGGAGCCTAACATGGGACTCGATCCCAGGACCCTGAAATGAAAAGTAGGATGCTTACCCCCTGAGCCACCCAGGCACCCCTAAGTCCTTGAGTTTAGACATCCTTCCTCCAGAACTATGAAAGAATAAACTTCTGTTGTTTTAAGCCTTTAAGTTTGTGATAACTTGTCACAGCAACCATAGGGAACTAAGACAGTTGCATCTATCGGTATGATTTTGAGAGTGACCTTGATCATCTGGCTGAGGTAGTGTTTACCAGTTTTCTCCACTCTAAAGTTAGTATTTTCCCCTCTTTGCACACCGCGCTCTTTGGAAGGAAGTCATTGTATGCAGCCCCTTTAAGGAGGGAACTCTGTTCTACATCAAAAGGAAGGTTTATTTGTCACTCCTGTGAGATTTCTTCTTCCACTATTTTCATATATGGTATTACCAATTTAAAAGACCGACATTATCTGTTGAAGAACTTGCATGTAGCAACTTTGTCAAGCCCCGTTATTGATTCTATTAGCTTTCTTTCCCATTTGCTTTATTTGGATTGTGTGTAATTGTAATTGCATGTAATGCTCTTACCTCTTCTTTCTTAATATTTATATCTTACATTTCTGTTATATGTTTTATTGCATTGGCCAGGACTCCCGAAGGCTGTTCAAGAATAGCAGTGATTGGCGATCTAGCGTCCAGCCTAGGACTTTTGTCTGTTGGGACTCAGGCCTCCTTCTCCACTCCCTACATCTAATTCTGGTGGTCAATTACCAGTCATAGTGATGACATTTGGAAGTTTTTGGGTTTGTGAGCGAACGGCTAAGAGAGGATTCTTGAGATGTTTTTGGTGCAAAAAGGTGATTGTATTAGAGCCCGGGGAAAGGAGCCGTGGACAGAAAAGAGCGACACTGGGATTGTGAGAAGTGACTGATTGTATACTTTTTAATTAGTGGGTTTTAGGGGGCGCCTGGGTGGCTCAGTTGGTTAAGCGACTGCCTTCGGCTCAGGTCATGATCCTGGAGTCCCGGGATCGAGTCCCACGTCGGGCTTCCTGCTCAGCAGGGAGTCTGCTTCTCCCTCTGGCCTTCTTCCCTTCGTGCTTTCTATCTCTCATTCTCTCTCTCTCTCAAATAAATAAAAAAAAAATCTTTAATTAGTGGGTTTTAGGGATAGCATAAATCTCTAAGGAATTTGAAAGCGAGGCTTTCAGGACCTTGGGCTGGCTGCTGTTAAGCTAAGGTTATTTTTAGTCTTTAATTAAAACAAACAGTAAGGCAGGAAGACCTGAGTTTCTTAAGGTCAACCTCTGTATGTTTCAGGTATCTATCAGTGGGACGCAAGCGCTAAGGAGATTTAATTTAAGTTACATTTGTCTTGCCTTTGTTTCCCTCATCAACAGCACCCAGGCCTTTAGGGCCAGCCGTTAGACCCTATTTCCCTGCCCAGGATGATTGTTTCAAAGTGGGCAAGAAGAAACCTACATATGAAACCCACATACATAAGTTTCCTCCCTGTTTTTTTGTCTGTTTGTTTGGAGCTAGAAGAGGGAGGGTCTTATTATCTGGCTTAGGGGGTGGGAAAGAAAGGGATGAGGGTTGCTGGAGGCCACCCTGCCCCCTCCAGGGAAAGAGAGGTTGCCTGCAGAGAAAAAAAATCACACACACACACCCCCCCAAAACCAAGGAGAGAATCAAAAATGGTGGGAAGATTCCTCGGGGGAGAGGGGGAACACTAAAGACCTTGTTTTAAAATCCCTGAATCCAAACTTTCTGGTTATGTGAGTCCCCAAAGTTGGATCACTTCTACGACAGAAGGAATTTCGACTATTACGGAAATCATCCTGTCCCGGTGAGGAATGTTTGTTAAGCAACTATTATGCAGCAGGTTGAAGGCCAAGTGGTCCACCTACACAAGCTCATTGAACCCTCACCAAAACCAGTGATGGAGACGCTATTTCAATTTTACAGATGAGGGAACTGAGGCTCTAGGAGTCAAGCAAGTGGCTCTGCTCCCAGGGAGACCGTGGCAGGTGTTTCCTGAATCCGAGTTTGCTGATACTCACAACCTCTTGTTCCCCCATAGTTCTATTTGGAAATTGTGGGCTTGTTGCTCTTTTGATAGATTCTAAGTTGCTACAGTTGGTGGGCGGAACGGACGAGTACGCAGATTCCAACGCAGCCGCAAAGCAGTGCTGAGTGCACTCTGCGGAGCGCGCGTCCCGCCAAAGCAGAGATGCCTGCGATGCGGGCGTCCGCCCAACCCGCGCTCCTGGCTGGCCGCCCGGGCCGAGCGACAACTCGAGATTCTTCCTCGCCCGACGTTTCACAATCTGAAACCTCCGTGGGGAGGCGCAGCAGGGCCGGGGCAAGCCCTGGCGTCCGAGGCTTTGAGGCCCTAGACCCCCAGAACGCTTTCCGTCTGTTTCCAGACGTTTTGCAACCTCTTGTCTTCCCAGTCCAGGAGTTCGTGGGCCTCTTCGAGACCCGCGGGCGTCCACGCCGTGGCAGAGATGCAAGGGATGCACCCAAGGTCGCGGCTGGGCCCGGGGCTGCGGGCGGGCTCGCGATGCGGGGTGGGCGGCCCGGGGCGGAGACTGGAGCGGGGGCGGCCCTGTACCCTCTCAGAGGCCGCCTCTGCGCTCCCCTAACGCAGAGCGCCGGGCGCATGGAGACCGCAGACGAGACCGGACCGGGAGGCCAGGGGGCCACTCCCGAGCGCCCCGGGGGCCCCGGGGCCATTCCCAAGCGCCCCGGGGCCACCCTTAAGCGCCCCGGGGCCACCCTTAAGCGCCCCGTGGCCACCCTTAAGCGCCCCGTGGTCACCTTTAAGCGCTGCGGGGCCACCCCCGAGCGCCCCGGAGTCATCCCCGAGCGCCCCAGAGCCACCTTCAAGCGCCCCGTGGTCACCTTCGAGCGCCCCGTGGTCACCCCCGAGCGCCCCGTGGTCACCCCCGAGCGCCCCGTGGTCACCCCCGAGCGCCCCGGAGCCACCCCCGAGCGCCCCGGAGCCACCCCCGAGCGCCCCGGGCCGAGCGGCTCGCTGTTGTCCGGTGTCCGAGAGGAGCTGCGGGCGCTCCTGGTTCTGGCGGGTCCCGCGGTAAGTAATGTGGCCTCGGTGGGAGGTGGGTCCCACGGGTCGGGGGCCCGGTACGCGTGTCGCCGCGGGTGACCGGAGGGTACGGGGCAGAGCGAGCCGGCGGCGGGCGGGCGCCGGGGGACGCGGTGCACAGAGAGAGCCCGGCGGGCGCGCGTCCCCGTGCCTCCGCGTGCGTCCCGGGTCTCGCTCTGCAGCCTCTCGGAGGCGGCTCCTCCGGGCACAGCCCGCACAGCTCGTCCAGTGGGTCCCCGCCCGGGCGCGGGGAGCCCCCAGGGAACCGGGACCTGCTCGCCTAAAGGCTCTCCCGGCGCCTTCCCTGGGTGAGGATTCTAGCGAAGCGAGCAAGTTCCCGAAGCCGTTTGAAACTTGTTTGAACGGAAGCTGTCGAGTCGGGACTTCGGCTAAGTTACTTTGAGGCAGGGAGGAAGGAGGTGAAATTGTCTATCTTGGATCGCGATCTCCAAATCCTTCAGAATTTCAGTTAAACTCTGCAACACGAAACCAGAGGCGTCCTGTCTCACACTCTCCTCCCCGTTATTGTTTTTCCTTAAAGTCTTTAATGTGGTTCTCTTTGGGGTTGAGGTTTCTTCTCATCGTTAGGTTAGGGTTCTTTCTGCGTTATCTATTTAAAAGTTAGGTGGGTTTTAAAAACCACAAGAAACAGAATCCCATCCCTGTTCTGACAGCTTGGGTGGTTTTCAAGTCAACGGAGTGAGTCATTTCAGTGGACAAAACGAACCCGTTGTGTTTTTTTTTTTAATTTATTTTTTTTAAAGATTTTATTTATTCATGAAAGAGAGAGAGAGAGGCAGAGGGAGAAGCAGGCTCCCAAGAAGCAGGGAGCCCGACGTGGGACTCGATCCCAGGACTCTGGGATCATGACCTGAGCCGAAGGCAGACGCTTAACCATCTGAGCCCCCCCAGGCGCCCGAACCCGTTGTTTTTAAGGCATACGTTTTGGGCCGCTGAGTAGACATTTCGACACCAGCAAAGGTTAAAGTGGGCGGGGGCGTCTTCCTGGCGCGGTGTGACACCGCTGTTTGTGGGACCCTGTGATACCTGCTGTGGTGTGCCATGCGGGCAAAATAATGCCAGGGAACGAAAATTCATCCAGCAAAAAGGTGTTTATGAAGCTCTCTTAAAAAGCGGAAAGAATGCATGGTTTGGAATCTCCATACCTGGCGCCCAGTTCCCTGCTTTGACCTCAGAAGGCAGGTTAGGAAACAGCTGTGTGAACTTGAGTAGTTCCTGACCTTTTCTAGCCTTTGCTTATCCATGCATAAACTGAGAACAATGATCCGTGCCCAAAATTCCCTCACAGAGTTCTGTGAGAAAGGTATCTATAAGGCTCTCATTGCCCTGATAATACAACAAACAACACACCACGAGGCAGCTTTCTGAGACCCAGCCCCTCCAAGGACAGGTCCTCTCTGCAGGTCCCCCGAAGTAACCTGGTCCCCCTTGATGTAGGGGACCTTCCAGGTCTCTGGGATGAGCCTAACTAGCCTAAATGCTGGGCCCTTTATGTTTGTGTGTATATAGACCATTGTGTGTAGATACGTATGACTGTGTGTTAATTACAAAATTTGTGCTCCTAGAAAAAAAAAAAAAAAAACCTCGAACACCAAGACAAAGAAGCAAAGGGAAAACCCCACCCAGAGATAATTTGGGTGTGTTCCTTCCAGTCCTCTGTGTCTGGGTTTGTGTGTGATTGCTTTACCCAAGGACGTCATAGAATTCTGGCAGCTGTTTAGTTTCTTATAAATTGTATATGGAGCCTCTCTTGGTCTTTCTACAGCTCTATTCCCATCTGCTGTGAGTTTTCTGTTGTCTGAGGGGCTTGGAGAGGAGGAGTGTCCCATACTCTGCTCTCCAAAGACCTACCGTCAATTGGGTGGGATGCCCGGTCTGAATCTTCTCTCTGTGATTTTGCCTCTCTCCATTCCCTGTCTCCTTTCCAGGCCTCTTATATGAACATTGACCTTTGAGGATCCGAGATAGGCTTCAGGCTTAGGTGTTCAGACTTCCCTTACCTCGCTCCCATCGAGCTTTCAATGAAGCCTATAAAGAGAACACAAGGGAAAGAAGTGCCTATCAGAACGCATGTCACTACGTGTTTTATTTATCCTGCAGAAAACATATTTGCAAAGGAGAGAGGTGTAGCTGATAATACCTAGCCTTGGGCGTTTCAATCATGCTTTGTTTTTGTTAGGATCGTATCTTTCTCTCTCCTTTTTTTAAAGTATTTTATGTTTATTGCCAGGCTCAGTCGGAGTCCTGAAAAATAATCCCAGAGAGGGATTGTTGGCTCTCTGGGAGCATGGGCTGTGCGCAACATTGCGGAGGCTGGAAATGGAGTAGAATAGCCTGGGTCCAAACCGAGGGAGCTGGTTTCCGGGTGTGTGCACAAAGGACCACCTGAGAGGGAGCTGGAGAACTTTTTCTAGGGCTGCAGGGCAGAAGGACCAGAGCAGGCCCCGCAGGGTGAGGGGCCTCTGGATGGACGGGGCCAGACTGCACACGAGGCATGCAGGATGATGGTTTGATTTTTATCCTATAGGCAGTGAGGAAAGTCCTCAGTGACATGTAAGGCTCAGCAGGAGGAAGCTGCCACGGGCCACAGAATGGGGTCTAGGCTAAGGTGATAAAGGTCTGCAAAAATGGGAGGCATCTCAAAGGGTGACAGGTGTGGGGGCAGGTGGGCGGAGGAGGCCTGGGACCCTCCCTGGCTCCTTCCCTTCTTTTCCGGGCCTCCTGTCTCTCAACTGGATGCACATCTTCATCCCCCTTCCGCCTTGATCCCAGCCTGGACCACGGCAGCCTCCTTCTGTATTCTCCCTTCTTCAGCTCATGCTGCCCCAAATGCTTCCCGTGAAGCCAGACACCAAAGTCGTCTTTTAGAGGGGAATGGGCATGTGAGCTTGTCACCCCCTTTTGTTGGTCTTGTAAGGTCCTCCGGGGTTTGGCTTCTGTCAGGCGCCTGGGTCTCATCCCGTGTCTCTGGCTCCCGGTGGTCCTTCCCCGGCCTTCCCTCAGACCCCACACCCTCGGGCTGCTTTGTTTTCTCTGCCTGGAACGTTCTCCCTGGAAGGACAACCCACCTTCACCTCCCTCTTCACCATTCAGGTTTCAGTGGAGCTTCATTTCTTCCAGAACCTTCTCTGACTCCCAGGCTGTGCTCTTAGAGCTCCTGTCTTCTTTGTCATGCTCATCACCTGTGTAATTGGTGGTGTTAATCCATGTTGAATACCCTCTCCCTGCTCTATAGTGGGTTCCGTGGGGGTAGAAAAGGAGCGACGGTGTTCATCTTGCTTGGCATGTAGTTTGTGCTCCAAAGTTGTTGACCCCAGTTGACTGTCCGTAAGTCAAGTGACTTGGGTCCCAGTTGTACCTCTGTGGCTAACCAGCTGTGTAGCTTGGGGCTGTCTGGGTTTTCTCATATGTCAATGAAGAGGCTGTACCCCATGACCTCGAGGCCCCTTCCAGGGCTGACCTTTCGATGCCAGGAGTGAGCTTTCAGGCATCCATGGGGTGGGGGTGAGACCAGGGCTTCCCGAATGGTGCTCACACAGCAAGCTCATTGGGTGAGCCTATACCTGTTGCCTCTGCAGCATCTGGCCCTGGAGAGCACCCTTCCAAAGCCTGCAGGTGGCAATAGTTTTGGTTATTGCTGCCTGGCTAAAAAAATGAGTGGGGCCTCCGTGATAGGAAGAAACAGAGGTGGCACGGTCAGTTTGGTGATTTTTATTGTTCATTTGTCTACAGCTAGTCACTGCCCGTCAGGTTGTTGTCGAGACAGCCATCCTTGAGACACTTGGGGCAACAGAATTGGCTAATCGCTCAGGCATGGCAAGAGGCCCCGTGATGGGTCTCGTCTGTGACTACCGCGTCTTGACTGGGTGTGGATGGGGTGGATGTGGGGGTGTTGAAAGGCAGATCCCACAGCCCCAAAGATATCTGTGATGTCTCTTGAGCTAGGGCAGGGCGTGGGCCTGCTGAGCAATGTCCCCAGGTGATCCTTACGTACGTGAACCACAGCGAGGGCCAAGAGCTCACCCAAAGGGCTTGAAACCAGGATTTGGAAAACAAGTATGCGCGGCTAGCAGATATCAACTCTGGAGCCAAGGTCTCCCTGGGACTGAGGGTCAGAAAACGTTTCTGTGTTGTGCAACCTGAACCCCATGTTACTGTCACCCTAGCAAGGCTGCAGCGGCCCCAACAGAGAAATGGTTTGAGCATCTCACATGGATGAGCTTAACTTGGGCGGACTCCTTGGCCTTTTCGTCTAGGAAACATTAACTCTTCCCAGCCTGGGACTGGGCACTTGTCCTAAGAAAACGCCCGTTTCCCCGCCCGAGTACAAATGGTGTTCCGTGTAGTGCAATTAGTGATAGCAAAATCGGGGAAGTGGCCCAAAGGCCTGACCCTAGATGAGGCTGAGCACGTTCTTTATGCGAAGCCACGAAAGCAGCTTGTGGGGGACCAGGGCACTGTGTAGCAGAAGTATGCCATTCTGTGGAAAGGGGGGAAACAGATTCTATGACGCAACCGTTTGTAATAGTTGACGTGGCTGAGCGGATAATGACCTGAAAAGATTTGAAAGTGATGCTGAATTTACAAAAAAAAAAAAAAGGACCCCGTGACCTTTATTTTTCTTTTAAAGATTTTATTTTATTTGAGAGAGAGAGATTGAGAGAATGAGCGGGAGGAGGGGCAGAGGGAGAAGCAGAGCCCAGCGCGGGACTTGATCCCAGGACCCCGCGATCACCACCTGAGCCAAAGGCAGTTGCTTCACCCTGAACCAAGCCACCCAGGCACCCTGTGGTCTTTAAAGTTACACAAATCCACAGTCAAACAGACATCAAGCTCCGCTGGATGAAACTACAAAGCCCATCTGTAGGGTGGTGACATGCCCTGGATTGTGGCCATCTCCTGGTATAGGCCTACTGGGGGTGGGGGGTGGGGGAGATGGGGGTCTCTTGGCTCTCGCTTTAGGTTCTCTAGAATTGGGTTTTCCATACCAACTTTCTGATTTTTCACCCCTACCCCCAGCTTTTCATTGTCCCTTGCTTGCTGTCTCGTTTTTGGCCTGCTTTTGCAATGCATTCTAAAAGCATCCCTTCTGCCCTTCTGCTCAGTAGCAGAAGGTCCTGTTGGACTGGAAGCTGTGCCACTGGGAGCCCAGGAAGGAGAGCACCTTGTCCGCAGTAGTGACTCTTTAGGCACCTGTTCTGTCTTCCAGGGAGTGGGAGTCCGATGAAACCCCCTCTCGGACCGCGTGAGCCTCCCAGGGAGAGGGGCTTGCCCGAGAGGTACTGTATGGCCAGGGTCTGGCAGGTGGCGATGGTGGGGTGCAAGGTGGTTGGGAATTACCCTAAGGAAATAAGGTCAGTGTCCAAACAGGCAATTATAGGATTGTGGAGCAACTCATGGTGGTTCCTGAAGTGGTGAAGAGGAATGGCTCAAGGTTCTGGAAACGGAATTTGCCCTCCCACCTGAGCCTTCGCAGGATTCAGGAATTAAAGGTGCTTGGCAGATTGGGGGATGTCTCACCCGAAGATTCCAGAGCCCACTGACTTTCCATTTGGAGAACCCCATTTTTAGCTCAGGGGTTCCTGTTTATGGCATCTCATGCTGGCTTTTGAAGGCTATATTCCTTTCCAGTCCTCACTGGTAATGTGAGATGACAAGGGGGTTATCCCAGAAGGCGGCCTCTGAGAATTTCAGAGAAAATACACCTGTGATCTATGGCCTGAGAATCTTAACATGAAAAATCAACTCAAAAAGCCGGGAAGTTCTCAAAAATGGGATGCTGATCATGGTTGCAAGTGAACTCTTGGATATCCTTCAAGAAGCCTACCAGAAGTTGCACGTTTGCCTGTGAAAGTTGGCAGAGGCGCGAATTTCTTTACTTTTTTTTTTTTTTAAGATTTATTTATTTATTTGAGAACAAGAGAGCACGATCGGGAGGGGCAGAGGGAGGGGGAGAATCTCAAGCAGACTCTGCACGGAGCGCGACACGGGACACCCATCTCATGACCCTGAGATCGCGACCTGAGCCGAAACCAAGAGTCGGACCCTTAACCGACCGTACTACCCAGGCGCCCCTTGGTTTCTTTGCTTCTGATTGGAGTAGATTTGGAGAGGGTGGGGGGGCGCCTCCCTCTTCCGGGACCTCGCGCCCTCCTCCCCCTGTGATGGTTGGCACTCACCTATAGCTCCTTTTCTGTCTCTTCCAAGTTCTTGGCGCAGTTGATGATGTTTCTGATCAGTTTCGTAAGTTCCGTGTTCTGTGGCCACCTGGGGAAGCTGGAGCTGGATGCTGTCACCCTTGCCATTGCGGTACGTACGAGACTTGCTAACACACCTTTCTGAAAGCTGGTATGTTAGGAAGTCCCACTCTTGAAGGGCTTAAACCAGCACAATTCATTATCTCGGTGCTGGAGGTCAGAAGTCTCAAATGGGTTTCGCTGGGCTAAAAAAAGGTGTTGGCCGGGCTGTCACCTCACTTCCATTTGCAACTATAATTCTCCTTTTACCGTGTAAGTTCACATTTTCCCAGGCTCCGGGGGTTAAGACGGGACGTCTTTGGAGCGCTGTTACTCTGTCTCCCACATCAGCGAATCTGTAATCCATGGAGCTCTTGACTCCTGCCTGCCCACTTCCATCTCCGTGATACAGAACTGGAAGACCACATCCTGGGTCCTAGTGTCCAAACCTAAAATTGGGAGGAATCCTGAATCCTCTCTGTATCCTGATGTGAATCCCCCAAACCAAAGAGAGATGTCATCGATCTCTGCTAGGGGCTAACTGGTTATGTGTGGCCAAATGGCCCTGCTGACTTGCTTCGTTGGCCAGCTAGGTGTTTCTAGAAAGGTGGAGTCCATGGCTTTTAGCAGATGTGTGTCCTGCTTCTTCTCCGCCTCCCCGGTTCCCCCTTGCTGCTGCCCTGCTCAGGCACACATTCGCCTTATATGCCTGGTCCCCGTAGCCTTTGACGTTTGGTGCCTCTGAACTGTGCAGGACTATTCTGAATTGGCCCCAGGTATATATACGGATTGTCTTGCTTTCAGGGAGCAACATGGGCAACCCCAGGCTTAATTATCCTTTTGGGGTTTTAATGTTTGGAAATCTGGGGGAAGAAATGCATTCGGCGAGCCTCTAGCAGATTCCCTTTAGCCAAGGAAGTGCAAGAGGGCTGGTGCTTCCAGGCTGAGCCCAGTTGGGGCTGTTGTGCTTGGTTAGTGCCCTGCACACTCAGTTGGAGATGGCAGGTTCTGGACATCCTGTGATGCCACGCCATGGTGTTGAGGGTGCTGCCCTGGGCTCCCCAAAGCTCTAGGGACCCGGGGCTTTAGTTGGTGTCCCTGGTCAAGACAAGTACACCCAGGAGCCCTCTGACCTTGACTTCAGAGGCTTGATTCTGAGCCCTTAGAGTCCTTTGGGATACTGTCCCAGGCCGTGCTTGGTCTGGGGCAAGTGGACTTACGCAGAACTGCTAATGTGCCACGTGGCATTCCCCTTAAGGATGATTCACGTTCCTCTGAAATTGGGGATCAAAATGCCCAGCACTGGGGAAGGAAAAGGGCTTGGTGTAATAATCTCTGGCTGAGGTTTTTCTTCTCTCTCCAAGTTTGTGCCCGTCCTTTAATTAAGCAGGCCCAGCGGATTTGTGCAAGGGTTCCAGGGGGAGGACAGAGCTGGGTAGGGTGACTTGGGAGGGTTGCCGGAGGCACGTGGCGGCCTCTGCTCAGTGGGGACAGAGAATTCGCCTTCTTGTCTCCCTTTCACTGCGTGGCCATCTTGGGTTTCTTCCCAGGTTATCAACGTCACTGGTGTGTCCGTGGGCTTTGGCTTATCTTCTGCTTGTGACACCCTCATGTCCCAGGTAAGCGGAAGCCGCGGGTGACCCTCGCAAGTGACCGTGGACACGGGAGCTGGGAGGGCCTCACCGGCAGGGAGCGGGGAGGCTCTCGTGCACAGAGGGAGGGACTCCCCGACAGCAACCCCTCAATTCCAATTTCCCGTGCTTGCTTTTTTGGAAATGTGGCCGTGTGCCTCGCGGGCTTGGGAAGTCGTGTTTGCGCATCTGCCTTAACGCTACTTTTGACCGAATAGGGGACGTTTTGTACAAGCTCCTCCTAGCACTTTCCACATCGCTGAGTTTGGCACCGTCCTGTGCTGCTCGACCTTGAGTGCCCGCCCGAGCTCCCTGGGGGGCTTGTTAAAACAGGTCGGGGGCCTCCTGCCAGTGGCATGCTGGTAAATGTTGAATGTCCAGGTCTTGGGTGGGAGGAGGGCAAATGTTCTGACCTGCACGGTTTGCTCATTCCGGTGGCGGAAGGAGGTACTTTATAGCTGGTCTCAGGCTGCCACACAGATGTCACTGAACGTGGCCCAGGGAGAGACGTGCACAGTTCGGCTTTTGGAAGCGGAGCGGGCTTCGGCCCCCCACTGGCCGTACCCCAGAGTTTCTACTTCACAGATTGGGGGGTGGGGTGGGAGCAAGATACTGCATCTCTGAGAGGTTTCCAGCTGATGCCACCCTGACTGGCCATTAGAATCTCCTGGGGAACTTTTAAAAATGACCGCTCTCTGGTGCCCCACCCTGGACCTGTTAAATCCAGACTGTCTTTGGTGGGACCGTGGCATTGGTGTTTTGAAGATGTTCTCCAGGTGATTCTAATGGGCAGCCAAGTGTGAGAACCACGAATACCCAAAGAGTGTGGCAAAGTCCTAGGACCATCCGATTGAAGGCGTTTGGGAGGTTGGGGGGGTGCCGTTCCTCTCCTAATGGGTTTGTTTGCATTGTGCGCACCCAGACATATGGGAGCCAGAACTTGAAGCACGTGGGGGTCATCCTGCAGAAGGGGACCCTGGTGCTGCTTCTTTGCTGCTTGCCCTGCTGGGCGCTCTTCCTCAACACCCAGCAGATCCTGCTGCTCTTCCGGCAGGACCCGGCCGTGTCCAGGTAAGGTGGGCCCACGCTGTGGTGGGGTTGGGTCCGTCTTGGCAGAAAGATGGTCCCATCCGAGTTCAGCAAAGGCCACGTACCGGGAGGGGAGTCAGCGTTCCCTAGCTGACTTCTGCCAGGCCATAGTGCTGTCCACGCCTGACACCTACGATCTAGACCCCTCCTTATTTGAATGACTTCAGCGTACAAAGTTTGGGGCGAAACAAGACTTGGCAAATGTCCTCCACTTGACTGAGATAGTAGTTCAAGGCGCTTGCTCATGGTTTTGTGGTTCTTCACGCTGGCTGATAATTCAAATCACCTGGGTGTTTTAAAAACCCACCCATCCCTGGTTCCCCTCCCCTCTCAGGGTTCTGTTTTAATTGGCCTGGGGGGCAGCATGGGCATCAGTGTCTTTTCAGAGTTTCCCTAGATGATTGTAACGTGCTGCCAAGTTTTGAGGCCTGCTGGTTTAGTTCATAAGGACCTTTAGAACAAGTTCTTGTCCTAGACCAGTGGCTGTGAACCTCGGGGACCTTTGGCAACGTTGGGAGGCATTTCCGGTTATCTGTCAGAACTAGTATTGGGAGAAGCCAGAGATAACTACAAAACATCCTCCGATGCACAGCAGAGAATTACTGGCCATCGTGCTGAGTTTGAAAAACCCTTTCCTAGACCTAAAGATTTGGAGGAACCAAGAGAAGTAACCTGGGTATAAGATGATGAGGTCTATGGGTCCATTTTCACGTTTGCTCCTGCACGTGAAGCTCATTAATTTGCAAGGAGCCAAGAACGGGAAAGGTGGTGTTAGGTAGCTTATTCTCCCTACCCTTCCCTTGAAATGGAGACCCCTGCCACCTTTTTTTTCTTTCTGTTATGTAGGCTGACCCAGGACTATGTCATGGTCTTCATTCCAGCTCTTCCTGTAAGTTTTCAAGGGGTTCCGAGGCCCCCTTCTTGAGGTTCACGGGTAGAAGGCAGCTGCGGTACCTGTGAGCTCAGTGTGTTGGGTCAGTCCTATAGGATTCGGACATGTGATGTTGGCTCCTTCAAGAACCGTGGCTTTCATTATGCCCATGAAAGACACAAACATCTGTCCCTCAAGAAACACCTGGGTCAAGGCAAGTCCAGGAGGCCCCTGTCCCGAACTCCTACGAACTTCCAGAATCATCCACCAAAAGGAGTTCAGACTTTTTTTTTTTTTTTGGATGGTGCTGAATTCTTCATGTCAGAACCCCTCAGGGCCTCACTCTGAACTTTTAGATTTGTTTTCCTTGCGGAGCGTGATCACATAACTCCCTCAGTGTGTGTGCGTGTTGGACACAGTAGTCCGTGGTCAATGAACAATCAAAGCTCATTTTATTCAGTTGGGCGATATGGCTGTCTTGGTTTGCGTGGGCTGCCATAACAAAACACCAGGCTGGGTGGCTCAAACAACAGAAATCAATTTTTCTCACACTGGTGGCAATGGGAAAGTCCAAAATCAAGGTGTGGTGTCCTCGAAGACCTCTCTCCGTGGCTTGTAGACAGTCTCCTCCTCGCTGTGTTTTCTCCTGGTTGTCCCCCTGATCAGGGGCAGCCCTAGGGTCTCTCGTCTTATAATGACACCAGTCCTATTGGGCTAGGGCCACTCTAGTGGCCTCATTTTAACTTAATCAGCTCTTTTAAAGACCGTCACCAAATAATGGTCCCATTGGGGGTTAGAGCTTTGACTTGGGAATTGGGGATGGATACAATTCGGCTCTTAAAAATAGCTATCTCTGCTCTCCTGATTGGCCGTGTAGTCTTTAATTTATACCGAAATCTTTAACGCTTAATATTCTTTTAATTGTCCAACCGAACAGGACTCTTGCCTAGTCTATATTATAAAAGTGGTGCCTCCCCTAGAGTTTGCCCAGGGGCCTCCTTGACAGCCCACCACCCCCAGAAGAATCCTTGCCATGCACTCAAGGGAACTGTTCTCCCAGACCCTAGGGTCTCTTGGATCATGTTGGAACACCCTGGCCCTAGACACCCTGGCTGCCGCCCTCTGCCCCTGGTCCCCCTCCTGAGATGGGGTGCTTCTGTGGCTCCATGTGGAAGCAGAGGGCAGCCAAGCCGAGGCCAAAATGTTAACCTTCGTCTCTTATTCTCTTGTAGGCAACCTTTCTTTATACATTACAAGTTAAATATTTGCTCAACCAGGTAATGCAGACTTTCCTTTCTCTTTGGGGGGGGCTCGTGGGAGTTTACGCCTTTTCAGTGATTGGGGGGCGCCCTGAAAATACTCAGGAGCCACCGAAGTACATTTCCTCGTGTTGTAGGCACAGGACTTTGGTGTGGAGAGGTTTATGAGATGAAATCAAAGAAAGGATACGTTATTGTTGGCTCTGGAAAATTCTTATCCGATTCCCCCTCGGAAATATTGCCATTGGCCGGATAGGGTTAGCAACGGAGTGGTCTTTGGCTCTGTGTTCTTACGTGGCTCCCTGGCAGTAAGGGTGTGTGCGTGCCTATGGGCCCTGCAGAGGGCACCTGTCAGGCTCCAGGGAGCCAACCTCTCAGCCCGACTCTCCTCAGTGGGGCGTGAAGGCCCATGTTGTAATGATACCTCATGTCGGTTAGACCTCCACACATGACTAACAGCCCCGGGACGGTAGGTATGGATTTATGATGCCAGCATATGTGGGACCATGGACTTGCTTCCAGGTGAATCCAGGTAAATGAGGGTACCGGGCAGTGGGTCATGGCCCTGGAGGCCCCCTCTCTAGGACACATGGAGGGGCCAAGGGAGGGAAGAGAGAAGGAAGGAGGTTTTCCATCTATTTAGTATTCTTAAATGGAAGGTCTTACCCTGTGAACGAAACATTTCAAATCTTCATTAGTGTCTATGAAGAGACAGAAATCTCCATCTGCTCTCAGCCCATAACCTTGCTTGAAGCCACGTAGAGGCTGTAGCCTGCTCAGGACCTTCTCCCTGACCGTCAGTCTCCCAGCAGACGCAGGGGCTCCTGACCGCAGGCTCCAGCTTGGTCCAGTGAGGAGAGTGGAAGCGAAAAACCCCTCTCTCTGATCCTCGGAGGGACAAGGAAAGATCTGGAAGTAGGAGCCCGGAGCTGAGAGGGGCCGCCCGGGAGGCGTGAACTGGGTTTTGGAGAACACGTGGGGTTCTCAAAGCGTCTGGGGTCACCGGAGGGTGGGGGTGCCGAGGCCACGACTCGGGCAGAAGGACACAGTGAAGGACAGAACCAGAGAGGTGGGTTGGCCTGGGCTCAGCGTATGGGGCCTTGTGTTTGTTCTCTGCTGTGGATCTTTCAGTTGGTGGGAAACCAGTCAATTGCCGGTGGGACTAGAGGAGTGTTACAGACGTGGTCCAAACAAGAGATGCCGTGGGTCTGTGACAAGAAAGGATGTCCTGTGGGAGGAACGGGAGACATATGCTGGGGTGGATCCTAGAGAATGAAATGATCCTTGGGTGCAGGGACGGGCGGGAGAGCCAAGCGTTGCATGTAACCCAGCTTCCATCTTGGGGCGAAGCAGCTGGTCTGGGGGCAGAGTTAACACGGTGGAGAGCCCCAGATGAAACCGGGGGGCTGCTGAGACTTCTGGTGGGGAGAGTTAGAGAAGGTGGCCGGACCGGCTTCCGCTGACCTTCCTCTTTCTCTGGCATGTTTTCGGTTTCCATCTGTGTGCGCATGGCTCCCACATTTCCATCTCTGACCGCCAGTCTTGCCCGCTGCCCGTGGGAGACCTGTGCACGTTGCGCCCTTGACCTTCTCATCCCCCAGGCCTGCCTCCCCTCCCAGTCAGTGGCTTCCAACATCTTCTCTTCGGGTAACCTGTCCTCACCTGGGACCCCCATCTTTTCTTAAACTCCCCCAGCCCATCAGTGATGGGCCTGTAGGTCCTGCCTGTCCGCTCCCCCTTTCCCCCCTTGATTCAGTTCCTCTCTCGTTCTTCCTCTTCCTTCTGTGATAACTTCAGGAGCCTCTTACAGAGTCTCCCTGCTCCCAGCCCTTCCCTGGGTCAGCCCCGCCCCATGCTCTACTACTTCTACCGTCTACCTAAAAGGCAGGTGTGGTCACCTGCCTCCTTTGCTGAAAACTAAGCAGGTCACCTGGTAAATGAGCGACCCATAGTTGTGGTTGGGCCCCCGAGCCCAGGACTACCAAGACCACTAGAGACAAACACGCAGCACGGCGGAGTCGGGTTTGCCAGCCATGGCGGAGATCAAAGAAGTGTGGTTCTCACCCAACAAAGGGGAAGGGTGCTGTGATTCTGGAGGACGGAGCTCAGGTGCAGTCCCGGGGCGGCCGTGTTTTGGTGGGCTCAGAGCAAAGCAGGAAAAGGTCTGCCCTGCCAGGTGGACCCAAGTCCTCCCTCCTCAGGGAGCTCAGAGAGATGCAGGTTGCCATGTCCAGAAATCCATGCGAAGCTCTCCCGCCGCCCTCCGCAAAGTGGAAGCTGCGGCTACTTTTTCTGCGTGTGTGAGAGTGACGTCAATCCCCCAGGGAGGTGAGGGATCTTTTTAGGCTTAGTGATATGACTTCAAACGGCAAAATGCCCTGGGGTCTGGGATTTGAGAGAGCCAGGTTTCTCAGAGAGAGAGAAAACATTCAGAGAAGGGGCCAGGGTGACCGTTGGCACCTGGGAGAAGCAGCACCTCCTGTGAACGTCACCGCTGGCTTCGTCATGTCCGTGATTGTGTCCCGATGCTCGGCGGGGCAGCTTTGTACATCCCCAGCCCGTCCGTGTGCGTCGTTTTCCTCTTCTGCCGGAAGTCTTCGTTGAGATGCCAGACAGCCTGGACTTTTCTGCCTTGTACTTGTGAGCGGAGCCAGGTGTGATGGAGTCCTTCCCACACTCTAGCTTCGTGAGCTCGTTTTAGATTTTCTCAGCTCACTGAACTTCCATTTGGTCAAGAAAGTGTTGAGCTTTCGCCCACTGTCCAGTGCAGAGGGTGACTTGTTTATCCCCAAATCCCCGTTAGTCCTTGCGGTCTGGGAGGCAAACGGATTTGTCTTCCTGCCCCTCTGCTACCTTCTCATCTCCTGCCTGCGTCCCTGTGGCCAGAGCTCCCGTGCTTCACGACTCTGGGAGGAGGGAGTGGGAAGCAGGAAGGTGGGAGCAGCAAGGATGCGCACCCAGTGAGGTCCTTGTGGCAGGCCGCCGCCTCGCCTGTGTGTGGGGGGACCAAGTGGCAGTACCGCTCCTTGGTCTCCAGCACGGGGTGTGGTCTTTCCTCGTTCCAGGGGATTGTACTGCCCCAGATCCTAACCGGAGTAGTGGCCAACCTTGTCAATGCCCTCATCCACTATGCGTTTCTTCATAAGCTGCACCTTGGGGTCATGTGAGTCCAACTGATTTCTTGGGATGGGGGAAGGAATGACTGACCGCGTGGCTTTTCCAGGGCAGGATGGTGGGAGGGGGGTGCCTAGACCTGGTCACGCCCGTGTGTTGTCCCCTCCCTGGGCCGCCCTGGAATACACTGTCCGGGGCGGACAGTGAGGCTGCCTCAGAAAGAAGGTGCGTTCAGGGCTCGCGCAGGCGGAGGATGGGCACCTCCCCTAACTGGGACTGTTCTTCCCAGCGGGTCAGCACTGGCAAATATGATTTCCCAGTTCACCTTGGCACTGCTCCTCTTCTTCTACATCCTTGGGAGGAAACTGCATCATGCTACCTGGGGAGGTAAAGACCACCGTTTGTCTTCCACGTCGGACGGAGGTTTTAGCTTGGGTTGAGGTCCAGCCCAGACACCCATGTGTTGTTAATATGTCTGTGTCCCCACTACAGGGTGGACCAGTGAGTGTCTGCAGGACTGGGCCTCCTTTCTCAGCCTGGCCATCCCAGGCATGCTCATGCTGTGCGTGGAGTGGTGGGCCTACGAGGTCGGGAGCTTACTGAGCGGTCAGTGTGGGGACAGGTGGCGATGGCTGGCGTAAATGTGGGGGCCCCGTCGGGAAGCACGGTGTCAGCTGCCTTTCTCCACCAGGCATCCTCGGCACAGTGGAGCTGGGAGCCCAGTCTGTCGTGTACGAACTGACCGTCATTTTGTACATGGTGAGTGTCTGGTAGCCAGTCGTGGGGAGGTGCTGGATGTTTCCCTTGAAAAAAAGAGTCCTACGAACGAGCATAGGCATTCATCACATTAGTAGTTTTTAAAATGATTGATGATTTCATCCTAGAGCCAGGGAGGGTCTGTTTGGAACAATGGGATCTTCCCTGTGAGCCCTGGGAAGTTTGTAAGAATGAGTTGCTCAGTGCTGGTCATGCACGTCCTTGATTGCCACGCTTGCCAAACATGAAGTATCTTTTCCAGTTGTTAGGACACAGATGTTTTTGGGGAGGGGGACAGATGAGGGGGCCCGAAGGGTGATGGCGCTAGGTACATGGCAAGAAGAGCCTAGCTCATTGTGTCTCCCCGAACTCCACTCCTCCCTGGGTCTGCTGCTGCGTAAGCTCCGAGTGACCACTCCTAGGTTAGACCCCCAAAGACATGAAAGCAGGGTCTCCAGCAGATACCCATGCCAAAGCTCCCAGCAGCATTATTCATGATAGCCAAAAGGGGGAAACAACCGAAGAGTCCATCAGCAGGTGGATGGAGAAGCAGGCTGTGGTCTGTCCGTACAATGGAATATTACTTAGCCTTGGAAAGGGAACAGATTTGGGCGCCTGGGTGGCTCAGATGGTTGAGCGTCTGCCTTCGGCTCAGGTCATGATCCCAGGGTCCTGGGATCGAGTCCCGCATCGGGCTCCCTGCTCCTTGGGAGCCTGCTTCTCCCTCTGCCTCTCTCTCTCTCTCTCTCTCTGTCTCTCATGAATAAATAAATAAAATCTTTAAAAAAAAAAAGGGAACAGATTTTGATGTGCTAAAGAAGAATCCCAGTTGTTAGAGGCTTTCCTGTGACTTTGTTTTATTGAAAACGGCAGCTGGAAATTCTGAAGGGCTTTCATCTCTAGCAAGTGCTGCTTTAGAAAGAGAGAATTGTGATGTGAAAGGGACTGAAGCCAGCACACTAACGCTTAGTACCCCTGCCCCACCTTGAGGCTGGTTATATTTAAAAGTTACGTAAAATATGTAATTCGTATTTTTTTTAAAGATGTATCTCTTTGTTTTAGAGAGTGAGCACGGTGTTGGGGGTGGGCAGAAGTGAGAGGGGCAGAGGGAGAGAGAATCTCAAGCAGACCCTGTGCTGAGCGTGGAGCCTGATACGGGGCTTGATCTCACGACCTCGAGATCAGACCTGAGCCGAAACCGAGAGTTGGATGCTTAACTGACTTGCCACCCAGATGCCCCCGTATTTCCTGGTTTTTTTCCTAAAGAATCGTTCTTTTGAGGATCGGTGCTTTTTGTTTTTGCTTTCATTCTCCTAGCGGAATTTTTAAATCTGTATTCATCGCTTCAACGCTTGATGTTTTATATATATTTTTAATTTCAATATGTTCAGTAACTATATCCAAATCAAAACGCTTACCAGTGTCTCCTTGAACATACAGTTTTTAAATCAGTCTCCTCCTGTGGAATATGTAATTTCTAATGTTCTAATGTTATAAATAACACTTCAAAGACACTTTAAGACAAATATCTTTATATACTTGATTAGTTCTTTAAGATGAATTCCTAGAAGTGAAAATAACAGTTTGAAGTCTTTTGCATATATTGCCATGTGCTTTCCAACAGGCTTGTGAGAGTTTACACTTGTGTTTCTCTAATGGAAAGAGGGATTTGTACCCTTTACTCCTGTTCCTCAACTGTTTATATTTTGCCCCGTTTCCTCACTTTATCAGTCAATCTATGTATCTAAACATCTATCACCTCCACAATCCGTATTCAAATGCCATCCATTGTTCTGATCGTGTCCTTTATAACTATTTTTATCCTGGAACTAAAGTGTTAGGCGTTTTAAAAAATTAATTTATTTGAGAGAGAGAGAGAGAGCACGAGCGGGGAGGAGGGGCAGAGGGAGAAGCAGACTCCCCGCTGAGCAGAGAGCCCGATGGGGGGCTCGATCCCAGGACCCTGGGATCATGACCTGAGCCGAAGGCAGTCGCTCAACCAACTGAGCCACCCAGGCACCCAGGCGCCCTCCCTTTTTAAAAAGATTTATTTGAGAGAGAGTGTGCGTGTGGGTGCAAGTGCGAGTGGGGGTGGGGAGGTAGGTACAGAGGGAGAGAACATCCAGCCGACTCCTCGTTGGGTGTAGAGCCCAACACTCGATCCCATGACCCAAGACTATGACCCTGAGACCACGATCCCAGCCGAAACCAAGAGTCGGAGGCTCAAGCAACTGAGCCACCCAGGTGCCCCTATATTGTTACGCTTCCTTAATCTTTAATCTAGAACAGATCCTCAGCTTTCTTTGTCTTTCTTGACCTAGATGTTTTTGAAGACTTTTATAAAGGGCCACTTTACACAGACTTTCCCTCAATTTGTCGTGCTGACACTTTCTCGTGAACAGTTTCCAAGTCTGCATTTTTGGCAGGAATACGACAGAAGTGTCACTGTGTGCTGCTTATACATTCTGTCAGGGGCTGGTGACGTGGATTTGTTGCACGACTGACGATATTAGCTGATTTCCTGGTTAAGGTGGTGGTCTGCTGGGTTTTCTCCATCACAAAGTCACTTTCTTTCTCTTGGTAATTAATAAATAGTCCGTGGGAGGGCTGTATGTTTGCTCCCACTGGCGAGTTTCCCAGCGGGCACTCTGTCTTGGAGGTCTCCTGTGTTCCTCAGTCTGAGGTTTCTGTTTAGTGTAAATTTATAGGTACTAGTAACGACTAATTTTTATTGAACAATTACCATACGTGACGCCTTGTTCTAAGCAGCTAGCACGTACGGACTCATCCCATCCCCACGGTAACCCTATAAGCAAGGCTGTATTGCAGGCTCCCGTTCACAGAAAACAACTGAGGGCAAGAGAGAGGGTGAGTAACTTGCTCAGGGTCACACAGCTGATAAATGGCTGCACCAGGACTTGAACCCAGCAGTGTGGCTTCAGAGATGCCCATTCCTAACCACAATGCCATCCCGCCTTCCGGTGTCTGTTTTAGCACTGTTTCTCATCGTGCCCTTCCCTTCCCAAAAGGGTAGCCTGCTATCAGCTTGGTATGCATCTTTCTGTTAATTCTTAAGTTCCTTTTTACCCAACATTTTGGGGAAGAGGGAGGTCACCGTTTTTAGGATTCTGTCTTCCAAACTTTTTTTTTTTTAAAGATTTATTTATCTGAGAGAAAGAATGAGAGAGAGAGAGAGAGAGAGAGCGCGCGCGCGCACATGAGAGGGGGAGGGTCAGAGGGAGAAGCAGACTCCCCGCCGAGCAGGGAGCCCGATGCGGGACTCGATCTTCGGACTCCAGGATCATGACCTGAGCCAAAGGCAGGCGCTTAACCAACTGAGCCACCCAGGCGCCCAAAACTTTTTTTTTTTTAAGAATTTATTTATTTATTAGAGTGAGCGAGATAGAGCACAAGCTGGGGGAGGTATGGGTGAGAGGGAAGAACAGACTCACCGCTGAGCAAGGAGCCCGATGCGGGGCTCGATCCTAGGACCCTGGGATCATGACCTGAGCTGAAGGCAGATGCTTAACCGACTGAGCCACCCAGGCGCGCCCCTGTCCTCTAAACTTGATCCCTTGATGGTCTTTCAGACTTAGCTTGGGCTACAAGCAGGAGGAGGAGGAACGTGGCCGTGCAGGACCCTCCCATTGCATACCTTAGACGTCCAGCGAGTGGTGCCGATTCACCTTAGCCTGGGGGCACGCCTCTAGACAAAGGGGCTGTTGCAAATGAGCCTTCTCAGAACTTTCCCACTGAGTTTTACCAATGAGGTGTGCAACATGATCTACCAGGCCCCTCTGCCCTGGAGAAGGTTCATTTCTGAGCCCAGAGACGGGACTGCATCTCTGCTCCCTGCTCATTCTTTCCTTGTCATTATTGCATGTTTCCTTTTGCACTGTAGATACCTTCAGGCTTCAGTGTGGCTGCCAGCGTCCGGGTAGGGACTGCGCTGGGCGCCGGAAACATCGAGCAGGCCAAGAAGTCCTCCGCTGTCGCCCTGCTGGTCACAGGTGCTTAGAGTCTCCCGTCGTTGATCACCCGAAAGGTCTTTGCTCGGGAAGCCCAGCCCCGGTTCCCTGCAGCCCTGCTTTCTCACTGTGCTGTCTCTCTGCCATTTTTACCTCCAGGAGTCTTTGCTGTAGCCTTTTGTGTCCTGTTGTTAAGCTGTAAGGATGTTGTGGGGTACATTTTCACTACGGACCGGTGAGTGCGGAGATTTTCTTGAAATGTAAAATCTGCGATAAATGGTTGGGTAGATGCCTTCCTGGGAGTGCTGCATCTTTGGAGGGGGGTGTCCCTGAGCCATTTGCAAGATCAGAAACCCATCGCTGTTACCTGGGAAAAGAAGCTCTAGGAGCTAATTTATCCAGAATGCCATTGTTTGGGCCCGGGTGTGGATAGATGCTGCTGGAGGTCAGGATATGCATGCATTTTAAAGATTTTATTTATTTATTTGAGAGAGAAAGATCACATAGGCAGAAGCAGAGGGAAAAGCAGACTCCCCGCTGAGCAGGTAGCCCGATGCGGGGCTCGATCCCGGGACCCTGAGACCATGACCTGAGCCGAAGGCAGATGCTTAACGGACTGAGCCACCCAGGCGCCCGAACATATGCGTCTGTTTTAAAGAAGGAAACCCCTTTTTGGTCCCATTGATTACATTTCCAGTTAATTGTTTCATTCCCAGTGACACAAATCATTTTGGTATCCAGAATCTGCCCAAGTGCCTGGTGTGTACAAGTTGCGTAATATACTCGTCGGTTCAAATTGAAGTTAAAATTCTCCCTAATGAGTCGTCTTAAAGAAATCACATTATCAGGGCGCCTGGGTGGCTCACATGGTTAAGCGTCTGCCTTTGGCTCCCAGGGTCCTGGGATCGAGTCCCACATCGGGCTCTCCCTGCTCAGCGGGAGCCTGCTTCTCCCTCTGCTTCTCTCTCTCTCTGTCTCTCATGAATAAATAAATAAAATCTTAAAAAAAAAAAAGAAATCACATTATCAGACTTATCACCGAGAAGAATTCTTGTAAGGGATGGATCCGCTCTGAGGTTTTCGGGTTCTGTTGGGTTAGTTGCTTTCATCAGTGAGGCTAACTGGTGCATTTTGACTATGTGGCTATGTTGTGAGGATACCTCTGATTTGGGATTTTTTTTTTTTCTTAAGATTTTATTTACTTACTAGAGAGAGCAGAAGCAGCGGGGAGGGCCAGAGGGAGAGGGAGAAGCAGACTCCCCACTGAGCAGGGAGCCCGATGTGGGGCTCGATCCCAGGACCCTGGGATCATGATCTGAGCTGAAGGCAGACGCTTAACTGACTGAGCCACCCAGGTGCCCCCTGATTTGGGGTTCTTTTATCAGCAATTACAAAATGCAAAATTGACTTTTCCTTCATGGATTTAAAAAGCAGGTGGTGGATAGGTGCTGTTCCCAGTTCGTTCTGCTGCACGTATTTGTCTCTTGACTTCTTTTTAAAGATTATTTATTTGAGAGAATGAGCGGGAGAGGGAGAGAGAATCTTAAGCAGACTCTGTGCTCAGCATGGAGCCCAACACGGGGCTCGACCTCATGACCCGGAGATAACAACCTGAGCCGAAACCAAGAGTCTGATGCTTCGTTGACCGAGCCACCCAGGCGCCCCTGTCTTTTGCCTTCTGGTGTTGGGTTGTCCTCTTTCAGCTTCAGCCATTTCGCTGTGGGGAAATAACGATGTTTAAGTGTCCCTCACTTCAGAGTGAATGGAAAAGCAACCGGAAATCATTCCCGTTTTCTTGCAAGGGAATCAGAATTAACGATACCAGGTTTGTATCCACGCTGATGGCTTCAGTAGGCACAGGGCAGACGTTTGATCCTGAGTCTGTCCACTTCGCGAAATCATGCAGGGCAGGCAAGAGCAAGGAAAACAAAAGGCCCACAAACCGTATCTTTGATGATATTATGAGACAGAGAAAACTCACAAAATCAAATTATTTATGAGCTGGCTAGGATCAACGGAAACTGGTGAATCGGTGACATAGATTCTAACAACAACATGGACAGCTAACCTAATCGAAGAGGAAAAAGGGAGAGAGCTTTCTCGACACAAAGTAAGAAAGGGGGAAATTACTAAAAAAAAAAAAAAACCCAATGATTTTTTTTTTAAACCACGAGAGACCAGTTTGCTGCATGACTTTTGCAAGTCAACTTAAAAAAAATCTGGAAGGAATAAATAATTTTCTAGGAAAATGATCTACCAAAACTTACTTTGGAAAACACAGAAGGTCTAAGTAGACCGATTTCCTTAGAAGAAATAAGAAATGTTTATTTAAAAAAAAAAGAAATGTTTATTTTAAAAATCTCAAAAAGCACTAATCCCTGGGGGTTCCAAAGGAGAATTTTATAAAACCTTTAAAATGTGATTCCAATACTGTTGAACTGTTGCAGAGACCAGAAAAAGGAAAATTCCCACGTTCCGTTTAGGAAGCAAAAATAGAGCATTGGTTGGTACCAAAATCTGACAAAGTTTGTACAAGAACAAACGTTGCAGACCAATCTCACTTACTAATGTCTATCTTAAAATCCAAAATAAAATGTTAGTGGACAGAATTCAGCAGCATGTAAAAAACGGTACATTTTGATAGAATATAAAAGTGAATATAATCGATCAGGTGGACAAATCAAGTTGCGGAACATTATGCAGAGAATGCTAGAACATGAAATGACGGAGACTGGAAGGGGAAGATAAAAGTACGCATTTGTGTGTGGACAAGTACAAACAGTACCAAGGATTTTTGCCTTGTCTCGGGGGAGGTGGTGGTGATGGGTGGACTGGGAACAGAATGGAAGTAAGATTTTTCTCGATACCCTTTTCATGTTGTTTGGTTTCTTTTAACTGTTGCATATGTTACCTATTCAAAAAATAAAATTCAATCTGAAGAAAAGAACTGTGTTTCTGTCCTTTTTTTGGAGGGGGGGAGCGATTGTCTTGTTCCGTGCTGGATTTCTTTTTTTGTTGTTTTTGTTTTTTTAATTCATTCAACAAATATTTATTGCTGGACAGTGTTCTAGGCTTATTTGTTAATCACTCAAGAGTGCTATGGATTTTTTTTTGCCTCCCTGGGTCAGTGGCAGCATTTTCTACTTCCTCAAGTGTAGGTTTTAAAGTCTCTAGCTGTAGAGGTTAGGGACTATTTCTAGGAACCATGGATAATTCTATAAACTGTATCCATGGCCTTTATAATTTGCTCACCTTGGTTCCACAGAGAGAAACTTAACCACTCTGTTGTGCTTCATCCAGACACAAGAAGAGATCTGCATGGAATCATGTTAACAGAAAGATGGCATTATAATCCAAATTCTGTTTTTTTGTGGGGGCAGTGGAGTACCAGATCATATGCTTTAACTGTCTACATCAGCCGACTGTACTATGTATTTCTTTTAAAAGTCATGCAATATGCATTGTAGGGTTGGTTTCCCCTATGGGCCAAGAAACAGTAGGATTGTCCCCGAATTGGGTGTTGGCTGGAACGCACGAGCCTCTCCTATTTCTGCAGAAGCCAAGTGCCGTCACCTGAATCACGTAGTCTGCTTTTCCCCACATGTCTGTCTACTGCTGATCACCATGTGCTTTCTTTTCCTAACAGAGAAATCATTGCCCTGGTGGCTCAGGTGATTCCCATCTCTGCTATTGCCCATCTGTTTGAAGCTCTTGCTGTAAGTATTATGCAATATTCCCTTTACTTTTTATTTTATTTATTTATATTTGAGAGAGAGAGGGCGCACAAGTGGGGGAGGGAGGGGTAGTGGGAGAAGCCACCTCCCCATTGAGCAGGGCGCCTGATGAGGGACTCGATCCCAGGACCCTGGGAGGCTCAGACGCCTAACCGACTGAACCACCCAGCCACCCTGCAGTATTCCCTTTCAGCACCTTTATGATCTATGTGTTTCTTCTGATGGTGGTAAATTTAAACAGAAGAGAGCAGCTAGGGTGGGGCAGGTAGGTGATACTGAATGTTTTTAGCATATTCGCTTGACAAGAACACCAATACGTGATTATGGATTTTTAAGTCCAAGTCCCCCTGGGATGGGACGTGCTCGGGATGGGAGTCTTTCCGAAGCCTTGGCAACGTTCTCACCGATGCATGTTTTCTGCCTACAGTGCACAGGTGGTGGTGTTCTGCGGGGGAGCGGCAACCAGAGGGTTGGGGCCCTTGTCAATACCATTGGGTATTACATGATTGGTCTCCCAGTCGGGATCTCGCTGATGTTCACAGCCAGAATGGGAGTGGTTGGTAAGCCTTTACCACGGGCCCCAAAATGACTCTTGGAACATGTAGGCTTTTTGGGGAGACTTGGCTCTGGAAGATCACGCCTCTCTTACCTGACGCTGGGCCCTCTTATCTCTCTTCCACACTGACGTACTTGAGCAAAGCAGGATGACTTTCCTGCTCCTCTCCCTGTCCTGTGTCATCAAGTGCTCACTTCTTCCAACTCCTTCCAACTCCTGTTGGTGACAGCAGGAGTGCTGAAGAAACCTTCAGAAGTGTACCTTTGTTGGCCCCAGTTCTGTCCTTTGGTGACAGCCCTTTTCTGGTGAGACCCTGAGGGCGAGTCTGCAGGACGAGTTGAGGCCATTGTAAACTGGCCCTATCGGAGCGTTTGGGGGGAGGCCGGAGAGACCAGGGGTCAGCCTTGCTGTGATTCTTCGGAACTCCCGACAACGTACACGGTATGGTGGTTGTATACATTCGAGATCATGCCCCCCCTGTGGCTTAGCCCATGTAGCACCTGGAGCTGTGCTCTGGAAGTCACCTTCATGGCCATTCTATACCTTCATCTCCTGCCTGGTGTGACCTTTTAAGCCATGTGTCTTGCAGGTCCCATCTGGAACGGCATGGGTGTCGTGTGTGAACATTACAGAAGGCAGGGGACTGTTTATCACCTTACCACCTGTGGAGGAAAGAACCTAATCCATAGCATCTGGAATTACTAGAACTGATCTTTAAAAGAGTAGGGAAACAAAAGACTGCCCAGCTTTGATTTCTAAAATAATAATTTGGAGTACATTGGCAGTTAATAAATGATGCTATTAAAACCTGAACATGTTATCTTTGGGTGAAGTAGTGATGGACTTATTTGTCCATCAGTACTTGGCAGGTCTAGAGCAGTAAGAAGTCATCTGATACCTTGAGTGAACTCCCCATCCCATTATGCTGCACGTTGTTTTCAAGGTCAATAATATTTTAATGAAAAATACGGGAGGTGTTCGAAGAATGGAGTTGCCAATGCAAAGTTCACTGGACTTTCATCATGGTGCAGGAAATTATTTAGCTGAGTTTCTGGCATTATTCATACTTTGGATTTGCCAGTGGCATAGCTAAGGGAAATAGTAGAGGAACCTACTTAAAAATATAGATCAAAAAAAAGTAAAAAATAAGTTAAAAAAAAATAAAAACATACACGTATCTATGTTCTCAGGGCTCTGCAAGTCCCATTTGTTCACTTGAGAAAAGGATACCTAGTATGTGCAAAGTAGAGGGAGTTAAGAATCCCTTAAAAGAAGTGCCGTGGGAGAAATTTCCAGTTATAAAGTACGTCCTGGGGGTGGAATGGGCAGCGTGGTGGCTATAGTTAATAATGCTGTATCGCATGTTTGAAGGTTACTGAGGGAGCAGATCTCAAAAGTTCTCATGGTCAGAAAAGGAAACTTTGTAGCTATATGTGGCGAAAGGTACCAAGATTTATTGTGATCATTTCATGATGTACACACAAATATTGAACCGTGATGTTGCACGCCTGAAACTAATTTGTCAGTTATATCTCAGTTTAAAGAACGTTGGGATCTCTGGGCAGGTGAGGGCTCCGTGGGAAGACTCTAGTCAATCCCTGTCACCCACGTCTTCCAGAAAAGAAGTATAATACGAACTGGTTTTGAATACGGTGTCATCATTGGTAGGATCCGCAGTATATGTACACAGAGTGTGGGACGAGCATCATAAGGCTACCCTTAATATCCTCTTGGGCAGCTCCAGCGAATCGTGAAGTCCCCATCATAATCCCCTGGGAGGCTTTTCTCAAATGCACACATTCCTAGGGGATTCTGATACTCATCATGTTTTGCGATTCCTAGGTTGAGTCAAACAATCTTTTAAATGGTGTATAGTGAAATTCCTGGAAATATGTAACTCATCACTTTTAAATTACAGCTAGAGATAAGCTGGTTATTTTCTGTTTAGGGTGGTTAGGGTAAGCTTGGTAGTTCTTAGGGATTGGGAACACTGGGGGGTGTGTGTGTGTGTGTGTGTGTGTGTGTGTATCTATACATATTTGCTGTTATTAGTTCTTTATAGGAATGGCAGGTGGCCGTCAACTTTACTCTACCAAATATCGGGCTGATCATTCCTGAAACGTGATATGGGGGTGATTGGTATCAAGGAGCAGACCCGTAAACTATGCACCAAATCTGGCTGCCTGAACCTGTAAACCCAGTCTAGTCACGTTGCCCTTACCCAGATCTCGATGGCTGTGGAAATAAACAAAGACCAGCCAAATGGGAAAGCAAAGGCTATCTATCCTGAGCTTGCCCCAGCAAGGGACTTGGCCACCATCACTAGAGTTTTGGCAGAGACCCAAAGGCAGACAGAGGAGTGAGAGAGCTTCGTGGTGGGAAACGGGAAAGCATCAGGTGTACCCTGATGGATGCTGGTGGCCTGGGAAAGAGGTGGGGTAACTAGAAGTGGGGTGTCCTGTGTGATTGGTCAGGCAGCGGTGCAGCTTTGGTTTTTTCTACTTGGCCCTAAGTTGGAAGCAGGGCTAAAAATTAAGGAAGCTGTTAATTACTGATCATGTCCTGGCCATTTGGGGTCAACTGTTAAGGAAGTTATTGTTGAGATCCCTGGAACATCCCGAGAGAGAGCAGTCTGGCCTCCCACAAGTCTGATGGGTAGCAGGCTGGCTTTGGGGGTGTTTGTCATAGGTAGGGGATTTCCTGGGTGTGTTGCTGCAGGTGGTGGATCATAGTTCTTTTATATATGGTGTGACCATTGTCTGTGTATTTGGTGCCTCAGTCTCTCTTTCAGGGAAAACTAGGGAGCCAGATCTTCACCATTGGGATTATTAATCATCTTCATAGTCAACTGTACTGGCCGTCAGATCAAGGGTCTGCTCCTTGATACCAGTCACCCCCATATCCCGTTTCAGGAATGATCAGCCCGATATTTGGAAGAGTAAAGTTGATGGCCAGTTGTCAAGGTCTTCTTGAGCTCCTTGATGTTGTCCATCATGGCGATCAACCCATGGGAGAGCGGCTGCACAGAAACATTCAAGACTTGGGAGAAAATGCAACCAACCAGCATCACAACCACTCATAGGGTCCCTTCCAATAAGGTTCAGGAGCAGTTTCTCTCTGCCGTCTTTCCCAGTCGATGAAATCTCCTGGGCAAAGATTATGAAGAAGCTGTTTGGGAAGATGTTGTGGAAGGCAGCCTTAAGCTATTGGCGGTAGGACCCTGGTGATAGTTTGCATGAAGCCGGTCAGTCTGGTCAGTCTGGTATCGGGGTCGAAATCCCTAGACACAGGCCTTCCAGTTCCTAATTCGTAGGGGATAACCGATGTGTCCCTGAGGGAGTCGACTGTATGTTGTGTATAGTGTGCAAGACTACAGGGAGTGCCTTTGGCCAAGGGAGCTCAAGGGTTTCTGAAAGTTTTGCTAATTTCAATTTAAGGATGACATTGGTCCTTTCTACTTTTACCAGAAGATGGTGGGTGATGAGCACAGGATAGTTTGTTTTTTTTTTTAAGATTTTATTTATTTGACAGAGCGAGAGAGCACAAGCAGGGGGAGCAGTAGAGGGAGAGGGAGAAGCAGGCTCCCCGCTGAGCAAGGAGCCCGATGCGGGACTCAATCCCAGGACCCTGGGATCATGACCTGAGCCGAAGGCAGATGCTTCACCAACTGAGCCACCCAGGCGCCTTAGAAGTGCATTTAAAAGCTCCTGGGGGCACCTTGGTGTGGCACAGCTGGTTAAGCATCCCAACTTTTGGTCTTGGTTCCTGGTCTCGGGGTTGTGGATCGAGCCCCATTTCGGGCTCTGTGCTCAGCGCAGAGTCTGCTTGGGGTTTTCGCTCCCTCTGCCCCTCCCGCTCATGCTTCTTTCTCTTTCTCTCTCTCTCTCTCAAATAAATGAATAAATCTTAAGAAAAAAAATAAAAGTTCCTTAACTTGTCCATCTACGATGGGGGCTCCAGCAGAAGAGAGAACCCGCCGTGTTTCCCAAGCACCCCCAAATCGGCTGCTTTTCCAAAAGCATAACCCTGCTGTGGGCACATACCGTTCTTCTGTGGTCTTTGCTGGGGAAGCACAGTAGGGTCTGCCGTCTGTGTTGCTTGCGGGTGGAGGACTGTATCCCAAAGGAGAGCTCATACTAGGGGGTAGCACATCCTGCCTGATAATCTCCAGCTTCAGTGCTAAGGTACGATTCACCAGCAAATACTACTAGGTCAGAGTTGTCAAGAAGGGTCTCGGATAAAGCTGAGTGAGGTACGGAGAGTTCCCTAGAGCAGGGAACACAATCACCAGGCTGCCCTGCTTCTGGCAGTTTAGGGGAGTGGCAGGGCTCAGGGGGGTTGCGGGGGCGAATGGTAGTGTGAGAGAAAAGGATGTACCAACAGAATCTCCCAAGCGGTTAATCCGCTGGCTGAAAAATGCTGTGTGTTGTCAGCAGCAGTATCTGTGCTTTATGAGGAACTGTGAGGTCTGGGCCGGGGGGTGGGGGAGTCTAGAACTCGCTCATCAGAAGCATCCACAGCTTTTGAGGCATAGAAGCCATTGCCTGAACACAAGAGGGAGAAGCCTTTGCATTGGGGTCAAGAGTAAGACTATGATAAACACGGGGCTTTTGGTGGTTTCCCTGAGCTTGAGTTAAAACCCCAAGGGTTTGTCCAGATGGCCCAGGTGCAAATAGACAAAAAGGTTTTGGGTTTTTTTTTTTTTTTTTTTGTAGTTAGGGATGCCTGGGCTCTAAAGAGGATGTAGAGAAGCCTTCTTCAGATTCCGGAAGCCTGTTTACGTAGGGGCCTCCTGAGCAGAGGGTCCGTCACTACGGACTTAGTCAATTCATAAAGAGGTATTGCAATCTCAGGGAAACTTGACTCCTGCTGTCTGCAATATCCAGCTAAACCTAGAAATCCTACATAGGTCAGACCCTAAATGAACTGTGTTCTCGCAGAATGGTGATTTTGCTTTTGAAACCGTGTCCCTTTTGTGCCAAGGCTAAGAACAAGAAAATGGGATTTTTTAAGGTGGGCTTCTTCCTTCTCTGCACAAAGTAGGAGCTCTGGTACCTAGTGTACCAGAACTGAATCACAAGGGAAATTTAGGTGTGTACGATTCTTGATTGAGGGATGGAGATAAAAAGGGGGGGGCTTGACTGTACAGATCCACTGCTGTCCTTTGCAGTGAAAGCAAAGAGTTACTGGCTTTCTCTCGGTGTAGAGGCACGCTGAGCAAGGCAGACCAGAGACCCACCGCATTGTGGCAAGTGGCTTCCGGCGGAATTGATGTCAGGATGGTACTGGGTTAGGTATTAGTGGCGAGTGAGGGATCACCATCTTGGTGATGGCCCCGACGTCTTGCATAAATCAGCTGGCCTCATTCATTTGATTTTTTTTTTTTTTTTTTTTTTTTTTTTTTTAGTGGCAGTTAAAGGGCCAGTCCAGGGAATGAGAAGACCTCTAGCTATGACTTTCAGCTCTAGGTTTGATTCCCTTCATTTGCCTTGAAGGGATGCTGGAGAAGATTAGGTAGCATTTGGTAGGAGCCATCTGAACTTTTATGCATCTTGCAGCAATTATTGGGCTGTGTCAGTAGAATATTAAGGCCGTGGAATGTCAGGTGCAGGGTCAAGATTCTTGTCTGGGGCCTGCGTCCAATATAATAGAGGAGGCAAGTTCTATCCAGAACAGCCCGGACTTGACTATGAATAGAGGAGTCCTCTGGGACCTCAAGACATGGTTCCCTCCGGTATGCCTTTGATACAGTTCCATCTGCAAAGTCAGTCTCGGCCTCTGAAATTCTGCAGGGGTGGTAATCACAGCAGGAAGGCGGGTTTCTTAAGGGTTCAAGGGTTCCAGTTAAAGACTGGGAGATTGGGAAAACCTGTGGCTTATTTGAAATACCAACCACCTCTGTGGTATGTGTAGCCCGAGGCTGAGGTTGGGCAGGGGTGACAGGGTTGTACATAGAAAGAGTGGCAGGCGTCCATGAGGCGTTGATGAAGATGACCATCTGTATTTACAGTTAATTCCCCTGGAGTGTTTAATGAGTGCGTTTTGCCTTCCGCAAGCACTCTCGCTGACCTGAAACAAGAGACTTTTCTTTGTCTTGGTTTATCTTTCCTAGTGTCCCTTCTGTTCACAGTATCTGCAAGTTGTCCTTGTAGTAGGTGGTTGGCTGGGGGCGTTGGGGGATGGGCCCCCCAGCTGTCTCTCCGCAGGGCCCCACGCTTACTTTGGGTCTTGTCTCATTTTTGTCCCAAAGTCCTTTCCAAGTGTTCTGCATGTGTTGTCGTTCAGCGAAAGGGCTATTTTTCATATCAGGTTCTGTTTTCATATGAGGGCTCTGATTTCAGTTTTAATTTTCTCACGGACCTAAGGAGACAAAAGGGTGGCTAATAGTGACATGTCAGCACCTTCTCTGACTCCCAAACGACAGGTAGCACGGGCGGGCAGAAGACCAAAAAAGAATGAGCTCTGGATCAAGGCCAAGGTCTCAGGACCCGAAACTGTTAACAGGAGAACCTCCTCTGGTTTTCCTGGTAGCCTGCAGTAGAGTTGGTCCAAATGGATGCCTGTTGGGTGAGAACCACAAACTCATGGGTCTAGGAGATCGGCGCACGTAACAGGCTGTGTCCTGGACTCTAGTCTTCCTCTGTGACAACACTTAACCCAGCACTGCAAAAAAATAGCACAAGACACAGAAAAAGGGATGAAAAGGAATGACCTGATGCCACCAAGGATGCCAAACAAATGGGAACCAATGGTATCCAGGTACCAAACCAAAGAGGAAATGGCCAAGGAGCTCACTGTAAAGAGATTGGGGTCTGGACCTGGCCCCAATTTACCACGTCCTCTTGAACGGCACATACCACGAGCAAAAAGGCACAAGGGGCCTCTGTGGGTACCACATCTGGTTGGATGCTGGGGTCCATGTTTGGTAGTGTGGGCCAGGTCTTGGGGGGGCCTCCATGATGGGTTGTGGAAATAAAGACCAGCCTGATGCAAAAAGCAAAGGCCATTCATTTTAAGCTTGCTCCCGCAAGGGAGTCAGCCACCACCACTTGAATTTTGGCAGAGACCCAGAGGCAGGCAGAGGGGTAGGAGAGCTTTGCGGTGGGACAAAGGGAGGGCTCAGGTGGGCCCGATGGCCTGGGAAAGCCGGAGGCGAGCTGGGTAGAACTGAGGCATCCGGTGGGATTGGTCAGGGGTGCACGTTTGCTTCTCTCTGGTCGGTCCTAAGTTGGAAGCAGGGACAAATGTTAGGGAAGGGGTCAATTACTAATCAAGTCGTGGCTGTTTGGGGTCAGTTATTGCAGAAGTCGTGATTTAGTTCCCTGCATTGTCCCTGGAGTCTGATGTGTCCCCGGCTGGCTTCGTGGGTGGTTTATTGTAGATCAGGGGTTGGTTTTCTGGACGGGTTGCGGTAGGCTGTGGATCAGAGTTCTGTTTTTACCTGCGGTCTGACGATTGCCCGTTTGAATATTCAGTTCCTCACCGTTGACCAAAGAAACCCTCCTGGCTTGGGGCATCCCTCTGTGTCCTGTGTGGGTTTACTAAGTAGAGTGTGATGGTACCTTGGGATCCATAAGGCCCTTCCCGTCTTCCATTCCCACTCAGCCTCTCCTTTTGTGTGGTCATCCCTCTCTGCGGATGACCGTGTCCTGAGAGCTCTGGAAGTCTGTGCCCAAAGCCCGTGAGGGCCTGCAGGAAGCACCAAGGGAGGGAACATACAAGGCTGCTGACCTCTGCATTTTGAGAACGTGCTAGTCTAGGAAAATAGGACATAGCAGTTTGGAAGTACGGAACTCTTAGAAGTTGGAAATAGTTTGTCCTGGGAACTTCATTTCCTTATAACTGGCGCTTCTCTTAACCGTTAGGCTCCCAAAGGCCGAAAATAGCCTCTGAACGTGCGTTCTGAGATCCAGAACGCTGGGCAGGGGACTTGCCCTGGGCCTCCCAGAACCTTCTGGAAACCAAAGGAGAGAGCACGTGCGAGGTCTCTGGCTCACTGTGGGCTCCACACCGGGCCATGAGAGCAAATTCTCGGAAGTGACATGGGACCAGCTTATTCCCCAGGGGCGGCCAGTTTTCCACGGAATTAACCTCTGTTAAATATTTCCACTTCTAGGTCTGTGGTCAGGGATCATCATCTGTGTGATCACGCAGTCTCTGTGTTTTCTCAGCTTTATTGCTCAGCTAGATTGGGAAAAAGCCTGTGAGGAGGTAACTATGCACAGTGCTGGCCGGGTAAAGATTCCTGTCCTAGAAAACAAACAGAATCAGCTCAGGCGCTCTCTCTCATTCTGGAAGGGTCCTTCCCCTTTTATCGCCAATTCTACTTTGTCATTGTTGTTTTAGCTGCATTTAATTCAGATGCCAGGGGCCAGATGACCCTGGATGTTAATCCATTCCCCTTTGTTTTATTCATCGAATAAAAAAAACAGGGGTTCCTTTCTTCCTTGTATCCCATAGTAAGCTACCACCCTTACGCCTGAAAAGCCAATTTTAGGACAAGATTTGGAACTGGAGAGAGAGGTTGGATGCCAGCAAATTTATCCTGATACTGTTTTTTATGATCCCCAAATATTTCATGAAGATAACCTGCATCCATCTGTCTCTCCAACTTGCTAGGGTCAGTGTGGGTCTAAAAATATATGGTAGATCAAAGAGGTAAAGGGAAGGGCAAGGAAGGGATGCTATGATCTTGGGGTCCTACCTTCCCCCTAATGTGCTTTTCCATCCATCCTTCCCTCACCCACGGATCCCATGTCAATCATTCGGAGAGACGATTCCATAGTTGTAGACTAGAGAAGCTCCAACCACATGTCAGCTAAAGAAAATGCCTTGGTTTTTCCTACACTGGGTAGTCAAGTCAAATGTTTTATTAGCACTATGTTCTATCAACACCAAATAAAGCCTTGTGGATTTACTTCGAGTTTCATCTTCTAGGCTCAGATCCATGCCAATTTGAGCCTCAATACGGCCCACGGTGGGACTTCTGCTGCCTGTCGGGACCCAGGTATGGAATAACTGCCTCAGCTCTTGGAACAGGCCTCTCCGGGGGGTCCCGGAGGGGCCATCGGTGGGACACAGCTAGATTTGCTGCCATGAGCTCCCACTGAACTCGGGCAATAAAGTTTCAGAAACAAATGATAAAAGTCACACAAACTGGAGGTAAACAGACTTGGAAGTTTGTTTGCTTGCATTCCAGATATTAATACACTACAGTAGATGATGAGAGGCTACAGGTCATCCATTCCTTGGCTTACTCATATAAGCGTTTCACAAACAGGCATTTCTAATGCTTGGTGATCCTGTGCTGTGACCTTATCTTGGAGACTGACATGTTTGTGTACGTGGGGTTTCCCCATCCCCCAGGCCAACACACAGGTGGGCTTTAAACAGATTACTGTTTTTAACTGTTGCTTCTGGGGAGCAGCATGCAACTGTGGGTATTGTTTTCCTTCTGTCCAATTAGTAACCCCCCGCCCCTCCAGATTCCCAGTTCCTCGGGCAGTGAGTCATGGACTCACACTCTGTTCCTTTGCTTCTTTCTAACCGAACCCCTTTGAGCTCACAGGCCAGTTGAATTACAGCTGGCCCCCATTCTGCCATTCCCACTAGTTCTCGTTTACTTTGTCCAGTTCCCTGTGTGCCTGGTTATCTTTGACTGTGTTCCAGATCTTGGATTTGAACATGGTCTGTAGAAGTAATTGGAGGCCAATAATGATACCGGTCTTCAGAGAGGATTTTCCTTTGCTTCCATCAAACTCTTACTTAGGGTTACTAGCTGTGTAGGGCAATTTCAACAACCGAGCTTCCTGGACCACCCAGCTGACTTGGGAAGCAACGGGGGTGAGGGCTGGTTGACTTCTGGTTCGTCCTTACTTCTTGGACACAGCCCTTGAGTTTCAGCCTGAAGTAGAGAGGGGTTTACCTCGGTAGGGACTGAACTCCCCAAAGCATCGCTCAATCCAGATGGAGAATTCTCAGGTCCAGAGCGGCCCCAAAGGCTGGGTCCCACCTCTGGGTCTCCAACTTCCCCTAGATCTTACCCTGGTGACTTTTTGTTGCCTTGGTAGCACTCTTGACACCTTCAAGATGGTACTTTTCATTTATTTTGTCCAGCTTTCATAATTATCTTCAGAGGATGATTGGTCCAAATTTTCTACCATCTACCACTTATAAAAGCAGGGTAATAATACCTCATAGTACCTCATACTACTGTCGTGAGAGACAAGTGAGCTTTGTACGTGTTAAGTGCTGAGAACGATGTCCGATGTGGAAAAAGCATTTTTTTAAAAAGATGATTTATTTGAGAGGGGCCAAGGGAGAGGGAGGAGCCGACTCCTCCGCTGAGGAGAAAGCATTTTGTAAGAGTGAGAGCTGGTGTTACTTTATTGGGAATTCTTTTCTCTCACAACTGCAAGGGCATCGTCACATTCCTAATATCCACTATGCTTTACGAAGAAGTCCGATGCCCATCTTCTTGTTCTGTTAGGTTAACTGCCTTTATTTTTTCCTTCGGGAGGTGTGGGAAGACTGGATGTCCATCTGAGTCACTATCCTGCTGGATGCTCAGTAGGCCTTCTGATGTGAAGATTCACATCTCTCTTCAGTTCTGGGGATGGCCTTGAATTACTTCTTTGGATATTTTTCTCCTCCATTGGCCTTGTTTTCCTTCTGGACTGCTAATTAGGTGGCCCCCTGAAAACTCCCCTTATGAACCTTAACTTCGAGAGCCCCCGTATTTCTCTAGTTCTTGTGGTGGGGCAGAGCTCCCTAGAAGACCCAAGCCGACAACAGTAGGATTCAGTCAGAGTTTGTGAGTGAACAAACAGAGAGGCCCTCTGAGATGAAATTTCTTTTATTTATCCAAGGTAGCAACTACTACTTTCTGAATAAACTTTCCCTTGGCTAGGAACACGTATATATATGGCATCTTTTATACAAATGAAAAAAATATCCTTTTACACTGCTAACTAAGTTCCTTTTTCCCTTCAGTCGCTTCAGTGGGCCCTGAGAACCGTGGAGGAATTTTAATGAGAGATCTTAGAAGAAAAGATGAGGTTCGTTTGGACCTGCACATAAGCCAAGAAGAACATGTTCAGGCGGATCCAAGGGACACGGCTATGTTGACTGGGAAACAGTTGGTGGTGCGGCGTGGGCTTCTGTTCCTGGGGCTCATTTCCGTCTTGCTCATAGGGATTTTAGTGAGAGTATATGTCGGCGGAGTTGAGTGATAGGCAAGAGAGAGAGTCAAGTGATACTTAAAAATTCATAGGCCCAATGGTGGGAATTGGTTTTCAGTTAAGTTAGTTTCAACTGTGCCTATGGGTGTCAAGAATCGAGAGTTCAAAGTTAATGTTTTCAAATGAAGAAAAGGAACTAAGGTACAATGTTCTTGTCCAAGACAATGTCTGAGAGTTTATAGAGTGATGATCATTCAGTTCATGCACCATTGTCTCAACCAAGGACCACTGTGTACTGACTGCATTCATCTAATAGCTTTGATAGTTCTTACTGTTTCTTTAGTTAAAACCCATGTACTGAGTGCTTAAGGTTTCCTACTGTTTGAGTTATTTAAAATATATTTTGCAATGTATCTCTCCTTGTGCCTTTAGTGATTATTCAACGGGCGAATGGCATTCGTTAATATTCAGTTGGGATCCAGATCTCAGGCGCTATGGGCAATGGTGTCGCTTGAGAAACTGAAAGAGGAGAAGACCTAGATTAAGCAGAAAGGAGCCAGATGGCACTGATGAGCAAGCTTCCTCTTAAGGACCTGTCTTAAAATCTGGGCTGACATGGATTGGCAGAGACAAAGAGGAAGCTGTGGGCCTCACTGAGAAACCGGCACTTCATTTTTCTAGAGTGGTAGGCATCCCACAGAGAGGAATAAAGGGTTTGAAGAGCTAATCCAGGTGGAGGAAGAAGTCAGACCCTTTCCTGTGTTGATAGAAGAGGGGAGGCAGAAGAAATGAAGAGAGGGGTCCAGGAGAGGGGAGGCTAGGGGCAGGGGTCCTGTCTTTGTCTTTAAGAAGGCACCCCAGCGGGGCACCAGGGTGGCTCAGTTGGTTAAGCGTCTGTCTTTGGCTCAGGTCATGATCCCAGGGTCTTGGGATGGAGCCCCACATCCACATGGAGCCCCATATCGGTTCCCTGCTGAGCAGGGAGCCTGCTTCTCTCTCTCCCTCTGCTTGCGCTCTTTGTCAGATAAATAAAATCTTAAAAAAAAAAGGCACCCCAACTTTGGGTGGCAAACATGGTACATCCAGGAGGTTTTGTGCGGTTGTGTCTCAAAAGGATGGGGTTTCCATGAATGCTCCCTCCTCCCCGCCCCCCTCCCTTGGAGAATAGTTGGGGAAGTCTTTGGAGCTGTGAAAGTCCAAACTACCATTGCTAATTCGTCTGGGGGTCAGAGCACAAGACTGTTCAGATGGTTAAGTGTCTGCCTTCGGCTTGGGTCATGATCCCAGGGTCCTGGGATCGAGCACCACATCGGGCTCCTGGCTCCGTGGGGGAGCCTGCTTCTCCCTCTTCCTCTCTCCCTGCTCATGCTCTCTCTCTCTATCACTGTGTCTCAAATGAATAATATCTTAAAAAAAAAGGGGGGGCCTTGGATTAAGCAGTAACCAAGTCCTACTTGGATTCTGCCTTCCCGGGGGTGGGGCCACACCCCTTAACGCCGCAAGCCTCACTATTAAGTACACTGGGTGCTTGGGTGGATACAAAGAGCTAGGCCTCGCCTTTGCCTTGAAAGAACAGATAATGGACCAGATTAAAAAAAGTGCTACCGCGAATGAAAAGCACCCAGGGCCACCTTCAGGCATCTCCACCCTCAAATGCTTTCTTCTTGGAGGACCATTTTGCAGGGGCGAAGATAAAGGCCTGCCCTTAGGGTTGGACCCCAGCAACGCCTCCTCTCTCAGCTCTTTGTTAGGAAGTTCATACACACCCTCTTCCTTTAGTCTCGGACAGATACTCCCTAGCCTTCTAGAGACTTCTCACAGTGTCTGCCCCTCTTCCTCAGGTAGGAGCCCCAAGGATGGGGGATGGGAAGGCTTATCTGCTGATCTCAAACTGCCTGCGAGGAGCGCATCCCCGGGGGAATACTTTAACACACCCGTAACCCGAGGCAGAAGGAGAGGTCACTCGAAAGGGCAGCGAGGTGCGAGGCGGGGAACTACGAATTCGCCCTCTCCAACACCCCGCCCCCGGCATATTTCACTCTAAGGGCCTACGGTCTCCTTTGTCCTGGCAGAACGCCCCCGCACGCGGCCTCCCACGCCCGCAGATCGCGTCCGACCCTTCGGGGTCTCCGCGCCCCGCCCCCAGCCCCCGGGGATCTGCGCACCGCGACGGTTGGCGGGGGGGCGTCCGGGGTGGCGCGGCCAGCCCGCCTCTCCCGCCCCCATCTCCATCCCCATCCCCACCCCCCGCCGCGTCTGCAGGTGGGGAGGTCCGCGGGCGCGCGGGGCGGGGCGGGGCGGGGCGGGGCGGAGCCGCCCCCAGCCCACCGCCGCCTCCCACGCGCCAGTGCCCGCGCCAGCATGGAGCCCCCCAACACCGCCGCCGCCGCCGCCGCCCCCGCCGCCCCCACGGACAGCGCCCAGCGGCCCGACACCCCGGGCTGGCGCGGCTGCCTGCGAGGCCTGCGTGGCGCGCTGCCGCCCGACGTGCGACAGGAGGCGGCCGCGCTGGTGGCGCTCGCCGGCCCCGTGGTGAGTGCGCCCCCTCCCCCGACGGCGGCCCGGCCCCGGCGCTCCCGGAGCCTCCCCCCGCCCCCGCCCCGGGCCGGCGGGCGGGCTGGCTCGGTGTCAGCTCGTGCTGTCCTTCCTTTTCGCTCGGCAGTTCCTGGCGCAGCTGATGATCTTCCTCATCAGCGTCGTCAGTTCCATCTTCTGCGGACATCTGGGCAAAGTGGAGCTGGACGCCGTTATGCTCGCAGTGTCGGTAGGTGTCGTTGCTTTCATCTTTTCTTTGGGGTCGACCCCGTGGTAAAGCCTCGGAATTTGCATTGTATTACACGGCTGCTGTCTTCCCTTGCAGAGTCGGACCTTGACCCCGGGGCACCTTGCTTTGCCTTATCTTTAGATTTGAAGGAAGATTGGGTCAGCTACTTAAGGAGGAGTTTCCGTCTTCGTCGTCATCCCGCCGTGGCCGAGCGGCCCGGGATTGCAAGGAACTGGTAGCAATGGTAGAAACTGTGCGGGTGAATCGAACAGCACTGCATTTTTTCTTCCTGTTATAAAATCAACCCAAACCAAAGAACTTAGAGGTGTTGTAGGTTGTCTGCCGTGACTTCGAATTACACAGTTCATCATGGGCGCGGTATTTTACACTCGTAATAACGTGTCTCCCCTTGGGCCGTGGATTGAAATGGGTTTTGGTTAGTGATGTGTGATGGAAAGGGGCGTCCCTCTTGCGTCTCATCCAGGCTTTCAGAGAAAGTGAAAAACACTTCCAAGGTGGTGATGGCAAAGGTGGTCTCTCTCAGTCTTAGAAGATGTCCCCTCCGTCCCCACTGGAGGCAATTATATGCCCTAAGGTTGTGGCGGGACCACAGAAGTTTCTCGTTTCACCTTTATGGTTGGGATGACTTCAGTATGTGGAATCAGACATTTTATTTACAGGTCTGTTATTGAGTGAACTAATACAGGTGAAGGAATATTTCTGCTTCCTTTCAAAGTTTAGATGGGGCCTCTAGAAAGAGTCAAGAAAGCAGAGAAGCTTTAAATACAGGCTGTTAACTGTGTCCCCTGGAGAGGATGAACTTGACCCCTCCCCCCACATAGGTCCCTGTGGCCCCGAGACACCTTGTACTCCTGGTCATTCTTTTGGCTGTGAACAGATATTAACAGTGGGTTATTATTGGAAACTTGAAGGGACACTTTCTCTCTGTTTCTCTACAGGGCCCACAGTTGGGGGTCTAACTTTTCCTATCACAGCTTCCTTTCTTAAAAATTTCTTTTAATTAACTTTTTTAATGAGATACAATAAACACACAGATATATAATGTAACAGTTTGATATTTGTATATATTGTGAAAGAATCACCACAATAAATTTAGTTAACGTCTGTCACTATACACGGATTTTTTTCCATGTGATGAAATCTTTCTAATATTTACTCTTAGTAACTTTCAAATGTGCAATACAATATTATTAATTGTAGTCACTATGCTATACATTGCATCCCCACACTTTATATATTTTGTAACTGGAACTTTGTACCTTTTGACTGCCTTTACCCAGCTCCCCCCCCCCCAAGTCTCTGGTAATACCCAGTCTGCTCTCTGCCTCTCTGAGTTCAGTTTTCCTTTGTTTAGATTCCACACGTGAGATTATATGGCGTTTGCCTTTGACTGGCTTATTTCACTTAGCATAATACCCTCAGTGTCCATCCATGTTGTTACAAATGGCAAGATTTCCTTTTTATGGCTGAATAATATTCCACTGTGCATGTGTGTGCAGGCACGTGCACACGGGTGTGGACCACATTTTTCTTTATCCATGCATCCATCAGTGGACACTTAGGTTGTTTCCATATCTTGGCTTACGAATAATGCTGCAGCAAACATGGGGGTGCAGATATCTTTTTGAGTTAGTGTTTTCATTTTCTTTGGTTAAATACCCAGGAGTGGGATTTTTGGATCATATGGTAGTTCTATTTTTAAGTTTTTGAGGAGCCTTCCTACTGTTTTCCCAAGTGGCTGCGACAGTTTGCATCCCCTCCAATAGCGCACAAGGGTTCCCCATCTTCTCCAACACTTGTTATTTCCTGTCACAGACCCTCACGGGTGTGCAGTGATAGTTCCTTGTGGTTTTAATTTGCATTTTCCTGAGGATGAGTGATGTTGAGCATCTTTTCTAGTATCCGTTGGCCATCTGTGTGTCTTCTTTGGAAAGATTTCTGTTCAGATCCTCTGCCCAGTTTCTAATCAGATTGTTTGGGGTTCTTTTGCTCTTGAGTTGGATGAGTTCTTCATCTATTTGGAGATGAACTCTTTATCAGATTCATGATTTGCAAATATTTTCTCCCGCTCTGTAGGTTGGCTTTCCATCTCGTTGGTGGTTTCCTTTACCGGGCGCAGGCTTTTGCGTTTGGTGTAGTCCCGCTTGCTTGTTTTGGCTTCTGGTTGCCTTTGTTTTTGGTGTCAAATCCAAAAAATCATCGCCAAGACCAATGTCGAAGAGCTTACTGCCTGTGTTTTCTTCTAGGAGTTTAATCGCTTCAGGTCTTGCGTTCAGACCTTTAATCCACTTTGAGTTATTTTTTTGTATGTGGTATAAGAATGTGGCCCAGTCCCATTCTTTGCGCTGTGCTGGCCAGTTCTCCCAACACCCTTTATTGAATTGTCTTTTTGCAGTGCCTGTGTTTGGACGTTCCCTCCAGATAGATCATCCTGTACTCTTCCCTGTGAGT